AAGAAGTAAAGTTTTCTTTAAGGAAAGACTAGCAAACAAAAATGTTCATTTCTGCTTCTTTAAGCAATTTTAATCAAGATAAATAAGTCTTCTTTTCATATGGAATTAGAATAGAGACAAGTTTTTCAGTGTCTTAAAGAGATTGTGTGTTTGTCTCTTCCCTTTTTTCCATTTTAATATTCTAATTCCGAAATTTCTGCTTTTGTTTTTCATGTCGTACATTGCTACAACCTCAAGGATTCACCTTGAAGGGCGTCTTCAGTCATAGAAGATGATACATTTCCTGCCAAACTCACAATTGTGGTTTGTACTTGGCAGGGGCGTAGCTGGAAATACTTTTGACTACTGCTTCCACTTCCTCCAGTATTCTGAATGTTCAAATCCTATTATATAAATTGCAAGCATTGATAGAAGTTGGCATTCGAAAAATATCTAGTAAATTGAACCAAATTGCCTGTCAGAGGAGAGTTTTCAAGCTGAAGGACCCCTCCTACACCCCTGCTACCTCCAGTGCAAATTTTGGGAAATAGAAAATAGCGCACATGAGTACATTTTGCATTATAATGACGACACTCATACCTAGCATGCGAATCAACATAAGTAAATGAGAAAAACTTGCATGTATATACAGTAACAGTAAGCAGAGCGTAAAAATGACAAACATGTAATCTATTCCTGAGATTTTTATGGCACTCTTGGCGCACTCACACTTCCACAGTCAGTGGATCTCCCTATGAGTTTTCAAGAAGACACAAAACATTGCAGAAATTGTTTAATCTGTATGTCTGTTTCTGTAGCAGGTGTAAAAGATAATTGACTCAATTTCCATAATCAAATCTGCGAAGATCTAAAACAGGAGGCAACGAAATGTTCAGTTTTACCGTCGAATTGGCAAAATTTATGGCAATTTTTTTTTATTTTATTTCAAACTCTCGGTTGTATTTTGAGATGTGTCGCGTCTGCTGTGCTGAATGTACACACCGAAAATAGACGAACGCAGATTATTTTTTTTACTGTTGTATGTTCTATGCTTAGTTGATTTTGTGGAGTGGCATTTCATCTGTTTGCCCTCATCAGCTGATTGTAACGATGATACTTTTTTTTGTCAGTCTATGTCGACTGTTGTTGATGTCCTTTATCGATTTTTGATACAACTTTAATGCTTTTTCTTTTAATGGACAAGAAAGACTTGAAAAATCGATAATGTAGACTACAGAATTGTGAGAATTGTTGCAGTAATGAGGTGTCTGTAGAGTAAAATTTTAGATTTACAACTTACTGCAATGGAAAAATGCAATAAATTTGAAAATAAATGTAAGTGAGAGACATTAAAGTCATGAGAAACCTGAAGTTATTATTACAAGTATGTTTCTTGAAGGAAATAGTTTGAGGCATTTGTTGAGTGGTTGGGGATATAGACGCATGTTTTTGAATGTTACATTGATGTCTTAATTGAAGCTTTTTAAGTGGGCATCCCTTGCAGGGGCATATGCAGGTCATATTTTTGGCAAAAAATACCTCGCTCCTCAAATATTTTTGGCTGTGATTCTCCTCAAATGAGAATCTAATCCAAAAACTAAAACCATAAAAATCTTAATGATTATTTTTAAATTATTTTAAAAGGTCATTTGCCATTGAAAAAGACAGAACAGGATTGATTAAATATAAAAATTTGACTCAAATTCAAAATTTTCAGAGTTCGAATCTCAATCAGAATACCAAAATGACATCTCATTTCTTAAAAACATACTTTATGATCCATAAACCTTCGCCACAACACTATACGGTTGTCACACGGACTATATTTCTGACACCGTGCACATTCACAGCAATGCATCTTCATTTACTCGATAAATCTCGAGAAGCAATTGAAAAGGAATCATAAAAAATAATAAGTTGAGCAATGTGTCGGTACTGAGAAGACATTAACGTTTGTGTGCTAATTAAAATTTATTTCATGTCACATCATTCATATTTGCGCCATTTGAAAAGCTGTTAAGTGTGACCCCCGTACAATCTATAGCATAAATCATGACGGCAATTAAAATACATATATTATTTTTACCTCTTACTTACATTTTTTAATGTCTGCGACTGCCTTACGTTTTTTTTTTTGCTTACTTTTATACTTTAATTGAATTACCTCGCATTAATTTAATATGCGGTTTGGGTGGAATGAATTAAAAATTGAGAGCGTAGGAACAATATTTACTTAAAAAATGAAGAAAAAAGAATTTCCAAAACTTTTTCCATGCCGAAGGAAAATTTGTCGTGAAGTCTGCGAGTATGGAGAGGTTAGTAAGCGCATATAGGGCTCTAGGGCTTGAGAATTTAAAAGATTCAAACGATTGTTTCAACTAGGAATACAGCATGTTTTTTTAAATTTTTGTATAAATCTTATATTCCACAAGAAGTTGTTTGAGGATTTCTGAACATTTTTGAATGAAATCTTATACTTCACAAGAAAAAATTTCTCATTTCTTTGGAAAATTGGACCTAGCGTTTCTTGGCTATTGCAACCAAAGCAAGTGACCAGACAAACAGACAGGCAGACAAAATCTCTTAACCACCCTCAAAAAAATTACAGAACCAAAAAAAAAATTTTAATGTACAAAATCAGCAGAAAGAGAAAGAAAAGTTTTCGTCTTCAAAAACTCCATTCAATTGGTTTTGTGCTCGGTTGTTAAAATCGCTGAAAATTAATTAGCATAAATTATTGTATAAAGCCGCAAAGATGAACTCAACTACACACTCCCATCAATGTACATGAAGTCTATCGTCGAAGACTCTCTTTTCCTCTTTCTTTTTTTACAATCGATATGCAAATGTTCACAAGTTATCGGAGCAATTTCGAGCACAGAGAGTTGAGGCAAAGAAGAAAAGATGTGAAAAACTTTTGATGTTTCTTTGAAGAGTTTTTCACATTTTATTTTATATTTTAATAAATGAGGGAAAATAGAAAAGAGTGAAAATTTTACCTATAAAATGTCATTAAAGTACTTTACGACTTTTCAGAGAAAAAAATATATGTGTGTATGTGGATGTATTTTCTTTTTAAAATTAATAGCTTTCTTTGTGTACATTATAAAGTTTAATGACATAATTAAATCATATAATTCATGTGCCTTGTTAGAAAATTTTGTGGATTTGTTAAATGTATTTTTTGAAAGTGTCTCAAGTTACATAGGAAGAGGTTTGTTTTCTAAGTCATTTTAAGTAACATGATGATTTGATTTGTTGCGTGGATTCAAATCACATTTATCTATAGAATAAGAGAGATAAAATTCTAGTTGAAGTCATATCTTTAGAATAAACTTTACCATACTCAGTTTTAACATTAGAAACTGGTCCCTAAGATGATTCCTAGTGGAAAACTAATCTTCATAAGGAATCATCGTATCGCAGTGCATCTAGCTGAAAGACTGGGCCCTTCACACATTATTATTTTTAAGGAATTGAACCCTAAACTCTGTCTTATCTTTGGTATTAGACTCAATAAGAATCGAACCTCTGCTTTTGAAATAGCATAATCCTACCATTATCTTAGAAAACTATTAAACTAAGCTATTAAGCTCCATTGTCGTATTTAAATCGATTTAGCTTGGACATGTACACATCCATCCAGCTTTACACATGCTTATGCCTATCTTTTCACATTTTAATATCCTTCAATTTCTCACTGGGCTATCCTAGTCATTCTCATTTCAAAACAATAACAAAAACACACGAAAAACAAAGAAAAGATCAACCTTCCTGCAAACAGAAAATGAAAAAAATTCCTGAACGGTGAAAAAAAAAGTTGTAAAAAAATTCATTTTTTTTTCTTTTTCGACTGCACGACTTTTAGTATAATTTATGACTCGTGAATGGGTTTTTAGCTTTGAGCTATTACAACAGTAGCAGATAAATAGATGGATAGGAAAAGATAAAGACGAGAAAATGTTCACTCGTCTCGCGTTTGAAGCTGAATGAGGAGCTACGTTCATCATCTATTAGCACGTTGTTGTCGAAAATTGACATTTTGAAAGAATGTTTGAAAGGGAATGAATGAATTCAATGTTGGAAGTAGAAAAAAAAATGCCAAAAGTATTAACTTTAGTAGTAACTCAATGTCAGACAGGAGTTGGAGCAGAGGGATCATTTCAAAGAGGAACTTCCGGGACGGAATATACATGAAGAGATAAATTCATTTATGTTCATCATTTTGTTCATTTTTCCATGGACACTCACAGGGTAATAAATTTTCTGTCATTTAGTGGTGGGCCGAGCGAGTAAGCCAGTATGACCAGGAGCTCTTTATGATGTGACATGGTAGGAAGTTAAGCAACACAAAAAAAGTATATAATTTATTTTTAACGTTACACATTTCACGTTTTTCGTAATTTACGCAGGCTCTTTGTGTATATTTTATTGGAAAAACTTGCTGCTGTTGAATCTCTCAGGGGCGGTGGCATCAATTTACATCTGTAAAATATTATACACTGCCGTAATTCCCTCAACAAAATAACTGTACATTTTAAAATATAACACAATTTATCTCAACTCTAGTTATAATTCTCTTCTCAACTGCCGCTATTGTCCATGCACGCAAACAATGAACAATGTGAATAAATCAGTTTGAAACGCGACGTGTAAAACAAACTGGAATATGTAAAAAAAAAATAATAAAATTAACCTGGACGAGAATTTTTTATGGATTTTTTTATGTTTCATGGATCACAATTGATCTGTACGGCCAGCGAAGTAAGTAAGAGAATTTTTTAGGGGAAAATTGAGTTTGGATTTACTTTGAAACATTAACTTAACTTACTTTCTTCTTACTTCCTTGGCTAGGCTGGGGCGCACGTGGGCCCATTGCAGCGTTGAAAGACAGCTCTATCCTTCGAGAAATTCTGACAGTTCGGGATATTAAGGACTCTAGCGAACATCAAGAAGTTAGGAAAAAATGCAAAAAAAATCAATTTTGGTTTCAACGAGTACCTTTGAAGGCTTTATTTATTGCTTAACAATTATTTGGCTGGTCAATTTTACGATCCTTAAAATGATTTACGGTTTCTTGACACTTAAATAACTACGAAGATGAATATTTAAATGTTTGAGTAACAAACTCTTAGCTTTAATAAATAGGGCACATAAATCACATTGATACAAATTTTTCGGATGAACACGAAGCAGGTGAATGGTCAATGATTTCTCATTTTTGTAAAACTTTTGACAGAGATTACATTTTAATGGATTTTCCATCAATGCAACTTTTTTGTCTTGACGTTCGTGTGCTTTTTGATGTTTTTTTAAATTGTAATTATTATCAAACGCACATTCACATCGTTGACATTTAAACAATTTTATGCGATTTTTATTGTGAATTACTTGATGCTTTAAAAGAAAACGTTTCTCGTTGAATTTCAGACCACAAATTTCACATTCGAAGTTTCTAGGATTTTCATGAACACACTTCTTATGGTATTTAAAGTGATTCTTGTGTGAAAACATTTTGTTGCATATTGTACACTCAAATCGTTTCTTGTGAGTTTTTTTGTGAATTTTTAATAATTGTTTAGTTCCATAATGTTTTGGACAAATTTCACAAAAATACTTCTTATCAGGTGTATGAAATCTGTTCAAATGAATTCTCATGGAATGAGGTTTTAAAATTTTAGGACACATTGAACATGCAACCATAGGTAGATGACAAATCATGTGTACTTTAATATTAACCTTAGAACTAAAAATCTTTCCATCAATATCACACTCAAATTTCTTTTCAATAATTTGCCCATTAGAATGTTCCTTTTTCATGTGAACTTCCATAAAGGACTTTTTATCAAATCGTTGATTGCATATTGGGCAGTTAAATAAGGTGAGCTCAGATGGATGAATCATTTTCATGTGTTTTATTAAATTCCATTGCTGAGTAAACTCTTCTCCACAATATTTGCAAATATGCTTTCCTTTAAATGATATTTTTTCAAATAATTTCAGCTCGTTGCTTCCAATTTTATGATTGATATCCTGTAGAACTACTTGACACTTACGAATTGGCGGTAAAATTTTAATTTCTTCATCAACTTTTAATGATTTTGGTTCAATTTTGAAAAAATCTGTGATTTTTGCTGCCATTTTAACTTCTTTCATTGCTGGTTTATGACTGATGTCTTCTGAACTTGAGAAGGTTTAAATATTCCAAACCCAAAATAAGATTTTCAGGTAGACATTGCCATTATGAAACTTATTAATGTTTTTAATAGTTGTACCAGAAACTTCTTCTACAAAAAACTATCTTAACTTCCCCAAATAAATATAAAGCTATATTCTCACACCTCCCCTACTACTATAGTTGACATCCAAAATCAGAAATATCAACAGAAACAAAAAAGCCACGTTAAATAAACAAAAAAAGTAGACGAAAATTAAATACACTAAAAGTACGTGGTGAAAAAAGTAAACAACATGTATGGGGGACCTTAATTGTGAGGCTGCTCTTCATGTTTTCCTTATTGACATTCTCCCCAACACCCTCGTCATGACTCATGACCATTAAAAAGCTCAAATACAAACAAAACAGAATGAATGAGAATGAGACAAAAAATGATTCTCTTTTCTGCTGATAAATGAACATATAGCAGTAATTTTTAATTATTTCATATATTTTTAACTCGTCTGTAAATCAGTTCTGATCATAATTGTAAATACCATGAGACAGAGACAACGACTATCAAGATCCATTTCGTGACATGTTTACATGAACGATTTTAATATTTTTACAGAATCACCTACACAGCAATTTGCGTGCTTGATTTTTGGGATGAATCTGGCTGTGGAAAATTTGGTGATTATGCTAATTTGACTGACTGGGTGACTAGAAATTTTAGTGGTGAATTAAACTTGAATTTTTGAAAGCCGACAAAATTTGAATTTTAGAAAAACGTTGTAATTTGAATCTTAAAAACTGATTTAATTTAATTTTCAAAAAACCTTTTAAATTTGAACTTTACAAAATAGTTGAAATCTGATTTTTTTTATAATCGTTAAAATTTGAATTTTACAAAGTCTTCCTACAAAGTCTTTAAAATTTGAATTCTACAAATCCGTTAAAACTCAAAAATGCGCGTTGATTCTCCCTCAACATCCTAATAATGCCATCAATACAACTCACATTTTCATCTACTGTATTTAATTCAATTTCTAGCTGAGCTCAGCCCATATTGTTCCTGTCTCTTGATGTCTTTATGACACACACCATGGATGGCCTGTTTGTTAATCCGCGATGGGAATTATGATTTACACACATGCAGACTATTTTGTTGGCTTTTATTTTCAGCACAACACAGTGAATTAAAATGTATAAAAAATGTGTTCAGAACATATGAAAAAAAAATTCATAGTGAGATGGATGAATAAAAAGTCTTTTTTTTTCGCATACGAAAGCAAAAGTGCCAATCGTAAATCAATATTTGAGAGAAGAAAAGGTTTTATTATTCGATTTTTATCTATTTGGAGGTATGAGCGTGAAAATGGAATGAAAAGAAATGAAAACCGCATCACATTTTGCTGCTATAATTTTTATGGCAATGTAAATAGAAAATTTTGAGGAAGTATTTGACGATGGAATGGAAAATTTGATTTTGGATGTCTGGATTGAGGGAGTTTGTCTTTTGAGTATGGAATTGATTAGTTTTCAATTCATTCTTAACCTAGCTTGCACTAGTTTTCACTAGCTTGAACTAGCTTGCACTAGCTTGCACTAGCTTGAACTAGCTTGCACTAGCTTGAACTAGCTTGCACTAGCTTGCACTAGCTTGCACTAGCTTGCACTAGCTTGCACTAGCTTTCACTAGCTTCCACTAGCTTTCACTAGCTTGCGGTCGTTTAAGTCTCAGAACCTCTACCTTGATAGAAAATTGGTCCTCAATCTTTCTCACACCTTCAACCTCAAAATCACCAAAACCAATCCTAATCTAAAATTCTCAACATTTTCCACTTCCTTGCCAGAAAACCCATAAAACAAAAAATATTAACCATAATTTTTTTCTTTATCAAAAAAATATTTCAAGCACGTAACAAAAAGTAATAATATTTACTGCACTTCGTGCCCACACCTCAAGAGAGACAAATTCCAGAAGCCACTTGAAAAATGCGTCATATAAAAAAAAGGCAGGCAGGCGTGAGCGAATGAAGAGGAAACTTCAGGCCCTCACTGAAAAATAAATGTTTGTGCATGGTTGGTGTAAAATACACACATCATACGATTTATAGGAATGCTGATAATAATAAAATATTGCCATTCGCAGCAAATACACGCAGTTTTTTTTTCACGTCACACATGTGTCCTCTACGTTTATCGTGAACACCTTTTTATTCCGTAATTTACGAGCCAATAAAAAAAAAGGAATTGCAACGTCTTCCCTTTCAATAGCTCAGCGTGCTTTAAAGACACTAAAAGGATTTTTTTTGTGAGTAGGGATGCGACTAGTTTAGAATTTTAATGTGATTTACTGAATAATACAATTCAATGGGCTTGATAAAAAGGCATAAAAATTCAACAATTTATTTGCATTACGTTTAGTGATTTTTTACAATGAAAATTATGATTATTGAAAATTGTTTTTCCGTTTTGTCAATAATTTTTGAGTTTGCATGTGAGAGGAGAAAGTTTGTGTATTGTTTGAGGTATGTACACAGTTATTTTTGGACAGGGTTGGAATCGATTTTGAGTTTTGATTGATTTTATTAGAATTTGAATGTTTTTTAACCCTTTTTTTTAAATTTTTATCGGTTATTTTCAAATATTTTTTAACCGAAAAATCTTCAAATTTTTTAATGACAGTTAAATTTCAAATATTTAATGACAGTTTATTTTCAAATATTTTTTGACCGTAAATTTTCTTGTAAAATCTTTTCTATTCCCAAACCTCCAACCCTTCAGTCAACACTATACTTCAAAATAAAATATTCCTATTAGCAATTCCAAAAACTAATCTGTGTGGAAAATCTGCGTTTTATATTTCTCCATCCAATTCAATAAAAAAAATTCAGCAACAAAAACTGAATGACTATAGATGAGAGGAGTTTGTTGAATAAATATTGAAATAAATTTAATGAAAATATAAATTTGTTGTGTGCATGTATAGAGATGAGTGAGCCGCACACACAAATAGCTATGGTATTATAAAAGGCAAACAATAGGTGCAACAAAGTACAAAATCGCATTAATTATCAGTAAGTGAACATTTATGGTTTTTATACACAAAAAAAAAAAATAATTTTAAACCGACAAGCAATAGTGGCAAATTTGTGTATTGAAATGCTTATTCTAACAATTCAGTTTGGGTGAATTTTCAGGAAATTTCTTACGGTCAACTTGGCGTGAAGCATCAGTGGAGATGAAATAATAAAGATGTGAAAAAAGGAAAAAAAGGATTTTCTTTCAGGAAATTTGATCTGGCCACATTGGAAGTAAAAGAAAGAAGAGATAAAACATGAGCGAATGTTAAATTGGGAAATGAAACATATGGACGAGGTATCAAATTTATAAGCATTCACACAAATATAGCCTTTACCCCATTTGATTGGATGCAATGAAATCAATTTTTATTGCAAATTTATCGACAAACCACAACACGGATGTGAGAAAGGAGTGAGAATAAAATGTATTTTATTTTTGACGTGAATTTTGACTAAAAGAGGGTTAAGGATGGAAGATTAAATGTTCTCAGTTTGTCCCTTGAATCAGAATATAATTTTATTAAACTTGATATTGATCAAAAGTTGGCTTGATAACCTAATAGTTTCGTCCTTTGACCATGATACCGATATAGCGATCGTGAGTTCGAGACTCGTCAATGGGATATTTTTCATTTGCACTTTTTGAATGTTTTGGTCTGGAATAGACTTGGTTACGCCTTCCTTTGTTGACTTTAGACACAAATGACATCAAAGGATTGATTTTAATCAAACCTTGTAACTATGAGTCTGAGCTTAAGTTTGATGGGTTGTAAACTTTCAGATTCACTGCATACATACCTAATTTAAGTGGTTTTGAGGGTCTAAATCCCTTTTGAACTAGGGGCCTAGTCAGGAAGGTTTAAAGTAGCTTCATTTGACACTAAGCACGAATGTGACAATAGTCTTATCCTACTTAAAATAAGATGGTATTTAAAATATCTCTGACAACGCCCATACCTAGATCTACCCATAGTTACATGACTCAAGCTTTTTCAGCTCCAATTCCAAAAATTTAAGATTTAGCTTTCTGCGCTTCATATCGTCCACTATCACTAAATCATAAATTTTAGTCCTCCTTTTTCTGCGTTTATCGACAATTTATCATTCCTTAAAAGTACATTTCCATACGTACATCCATACAGTACAAGAATAATAAGAAACTGCAACGAAAGGAAAGAATAAGAAGCAGCAAAAAAAAAATCCAATTTAAATGTGATCTGAGAACGAAGACATAACACACATAAGAAGGAGATCCAATTGGGGATTTTCGCTTCGAATATCAAAAATTATGATACATTTTTATGGCATTGCATGCATGGATGAGAAAGAGTAGCAAGTAGCAAGAGTCTTATATTATGAAAATGAATAAATTTTATTGCCGCTGCTCCTTTTCTGGTTAAAGGAGGGCAGGAAAAAGTGAGAAAAAAAAGAATTTATGTTAAAAAATCTCGCAATGAATATATTGGAAAGAAAGGACGGGCATACACTTTTTTTATATTCCTTAAGAGACACTGTTCAGTGTTCAATTTCAGCAGCAGCAGTAGCAGTAGCATGGAAAGTCGCATTCATTACATTGTAATTGAATACGCTTGCATATTCAATAAATCAGAAATGCGAACACATATAAAATGAAATATTCGCTTTATGCATCGTATATTTAATAAAATTTATAAGACACCTTTTTTTCGTTCCTTCCTATCTTGCACATACACAGTTTTTCACTGCCGCTATTGCTTCCTTCTTTTTATATTGATGCAATAAATTTCTATCGCACATTTAATATTGGAGTATATTATAATCATAATATCGAAGAAATTGTGAAAAAATTGAGATCAATGTTCTTTCGTGTGCTGTAAACTAACGTTGAACACTTGTCGGTGGCTTTTTTACTGCAAGGACCAGATTAATGAAATCT